ATCATCATACCGCATCTGTTTTGAAAACGTATACATCTTTCTAGCACGTGGGGTAGTTTCACCCAAGATTATCAGATTGTTTTCAGCAGATTCACGATAATCATCTCTAGAAAAAGTTGTTGAATCCTTTCAAGATAGCATGTCTGTAAGTTCTTTGACAACTATATGTTTTATGTTTAACAACCGTTAGTTTTCAGTTTTCAGTACATGTATTGCTTAAACTTTATCTAAGTTTGACCATACATCTTTTAATTTTGCAAACAGTTTGTTTTTCGGGCCTAAAATGTCATTAAATAAGAATTTCCATACAGCACTAACAACAAATATTAAAATGCGATGACGACAGGTTAGAAAGAGTCACTTTTTATTTAGACTTACTTTCAAATACTAGAGCTATAACTCTGTTTAACCGATCTCAAACTTGTATTAAATCAAGCGTTGCTTCAGTTGAGTTGCTCCTTGACAGTTAGCTAGAGAAGGTGCACCTAATTATTTCCATTCTTTCTATTCGGGAGCTCCAGGAATAAGAATTGCAAATCGTTCATATGTGTCTCCCAGCATATCTTTTAAAAGTTTACCACCCCAATGCAAAGCACTCCATTGGGTCGGGTTCTGTTTCACTGTCTCCATGACAATTTCTGCAATCTTTTGACAATTGAACATCCTTGTTCTCCAAGTTGTAGATCTTGTAGATCTCAATTTGTAGATCTCAAAATCTTCATGATTACCTCCAGCAGTTTTTATCAATGTTGATACAATCATTGTAGTTTGATTGTCTTACAACTTGAGACGATCAGCAGCACTGGTTATCTGGTCAAATTGCATTATTTTCCTAGGTAGCTTAGGAGTTACATATTCGCCTTCATCTACTTTTGCTGCTTCTTGTCGTAGATTTGTTTCAAAATCAGGATCAATTTCAGTTCGGTCATCTTGATTTAATTATGTCTCAAAAATCATATTCTAGCAAAGCAGCCATTCCTTCGACCTGTTTTTCTCTTAAAATTTCCAACCTGCGCTGTTCTCTTTCTGTAATTCTTGCTTCACGTGCTTGTCTTGCAAGTTTTATTTCGGTTTTAGTTTCAAAAATTTTATTATGCCCATCCATACATGCTCTTTTTTCCTGTTGTTGATCGAAATGAAAGTCGATATCATCTTGTTTTTTTTCTTTCTGACAAAAATCTTGGTTTCTTTATTTCATCTATGGCGTCAGGTGCACCAATGTTAAAAAGAGAATCAAACCATTCAATAAAATTTGCTTTCTTGCTTCCAGGGTCAGCTGTTCTTCCTTTATTTTTCATCAAACTCTGCCATTCATTCCAAAGTTTCATAACATCAAACATACAATTCTGTCTGTATTTAGTTTTTATGTGTGCCATATTCCAAAAAACAAGCACTGGTCTACCAATATGAGTAGTATCCTCATTCTTCACTTCATTCGTTCCTTAGAAATAAAACATATTTCATAATTTGCCTACAATCAGGCAGTTTGGCCCCATTTATTGATGTTGAAGGATGACCAATTAACCAAAAATCAGTTAACTTTCTTGTCACAGGTTTGCTTGGAGTTCCTTTATGTGAGCTAGAAGTACCTTGATAAAGTGGATTCTCTTTTTTGTTCTTTAGACTTTTTGTCTTCAGTACTTTGCTATGGTGATGGATCGCGCTTTTTACTACTTCGAATAAACATTTTTCCAATATCTTCATTGATAAAATTAAATTTATTCTCTCACTCTCGAATAATACAACTACAAGCCATTGAAAACCAATCAAAACTTTTTAGAAATGGTTCTTTGATTATTGCGATTTTAAACAAAAAAAAAAAAAAAAAAAATGCAATTTATGCAAAAAATGGGGAACCTGTTCAGAGACTTTGAGGTACCTCAAGATCACTTATCAAAAATCTGTAAAAATTATATTTAGACAGAATTGATACTACAATGGGCAAGGGCGCAAAGAGAATGGGGAATCCGGGTCAGTTACCCCCGGGTATGGGGGTAACCGACCCGGGGGCATCATCAGATGGGGGCATCATCAGATGACAAAAAAAAATTATCAGTATGCCAAAAAAAAATTATCAGTATGCCAAATAAAAAATTGAAAACATCCAATAAAGAAATAAAAAATGTTTAATTTGTTATTATATTTCAATTTTTGATTTTGTTTCGACTCAATCTAATTAAACCAATTACTGATTCCTAAGCCCATTTTTACGGTAGATGACTCTCTATTTAGAGACCACGTATTTTTTCTTTCCTTCAGAACTCAGTGTTTACGTTTTATGATATCCCTTCTGAATAGCTCTTCAAACCATGCGAGAAAACTACAAACTACATGTAACGTTATCGTGAACAATAGGAAAAAGAAGAGTAAAAATATTTTGCCCAAGAAGTGAGTGTGTTTAGCTTTCCATTTATCTAATTTGAAAGTGAACGAAAACATAGCGAGACAATACTAGACGATCAAACGGTACGTACTAATGCACTACACCATTACACCTGTAGACATCAACAGTCTCTAAAATCAGTATATCAAATATTTGTTCTTTGTTACATATAATCTACTCACAGAGTGACTAGAGTGTTAGTTGTTTCTCCCTCTTCCCCCGAGCATATAACTTCGTTCTTCACCTTCACAAAAGTCTTACCATTCATTTTATATTTTCCTATAATTTTTATTTTTTATTCAACGACACCATCTACTAACTGTTTTTATTATCACATCTCCTAAGTCTACGAAACTGGACAACTCCATTAGTCACTTTTTGCGATCATTGTGTCTCATAGCAATGAGACACAATGATCGCAAATAAATTTTGCGATTATTTTGTTTCAAATAAATTTATTCTTTGTAGCTGGTGAGCCCCGACTTTTTCCAATGTACACCACAACGACAATTGGTTGGAATATACTAAACAATTCTACTAGATAAGTTTAGACTTATTGAGTTGTTATTATTTATTATTAACATCATTATTATTAGGTGTTTACACATCATTACACATATTTGTAAATATCCTTGAGTTGTAAAAAGTTAGTTGGTTGTGGTTTGCACTACACAGTCTTCACTAACGTTCCTTTGGTCCTTTTGTCAGCGATATTGTTTTTTAACGTTACATTTTTCAGTGGTTATAAGCTGTTAGTAAAAAGTTTAGGAGTGGTATTTACTTATTATATTTCATAGACATATTTCAGCCATAAAAGAAACGGTAAGTTACTCTTAATTATTAATTACTAATCCAAGCAATCTTAATTATTTATTACTAATCCAAGCAGTCTATCTACTTTGTGCAGCTCATAGCTTCAATTTATGTGGGGTTCACGCTGTGAAATCATGTGTTCTGGCTAAGTCATACTTTGGAAATGTCCAGCTTTTATACAATGTTTTCAGCAAAAACCCCACACGTTGGAAAAATTTTTCCAAATCTTGCTGGCCTTTTTTTACACCAAGCTTCACAGATAAGATGGAGCGCTCGAATTGAAACTTTTTTTACACCAAGCTTTACAGACAAGATGGAGCGCTTGAATTAAGCCACTTTCAAGAGACCGAGAGAGATAATCAAAGCTTTTAAAAAACTGAAAGAAATGGATCTCACTGCTGACGTTTTAAATATAGTACGTTTTCTTCTCAAGTGGATAAAGTCCTTTGAGTTTGTCATTTTTACTATCTTCTGGTTCAAAACTTTGACAGCTGTGAACAATGCTAGCATCCTTCTTTATTCCCACAGCATCAACTTGGATGACGAGATGAAACTTATAGAGGGATTGATTGAAGTAAAGCGAGAATTAATTTTAGTTGATGGAACTAGAGATGATAACTCCTTTGAGCAGTGACCATGATAGTATTTGTAGAAAAGAGAAAGAGATGCAACTATACGACGATGGGAAAGAGGTTGAAGCTTAGCAGGTAGTCCAGGTCCGGCAACATTTACAATGCGTTTTTGGACCTTGTCAAGAAGAGAAAGTGAATCGTTAGAAGAACCAGCCCAAATATGACAACAGTATTCCATACAGGGACGAATAAGAGATTTGTAGAGGTAGAGAATGGAATCAGAAATAAGGAAATGGCGAGCACGATAAAGAGAAGCAACCTTAGCAGAAGCTAATTTAGCAATCGATTATATATATGGTTTCTATGAAAGGTCAGTAGTAAGCGATAATCCAAGAAGACGTAAAGAGTAGGACTCAGTAAGAAGATTGCCATTCATTAATATAGGAATGTTGACCATATTACGGTAGTTGTTTGCAGTAAGCAACTGGGTTTTTTTAGAGTTGAAATTCACAAGCCACTGTGAACCCCAATCTATTACTGAAGTGAGATCGGATTCAAGATTAGCTGCTTGTTCTAGGCGATCGAAAAGAGAAGACTTTTTGTCAAGACAGGAGTATAAAGTTTATGTAAAGAGATTTGAAAAAAATTTTCCCCATATATGCATCTGTCTTCGTATCTTTCTTACTTTGCCAATATCTGTGGCTGAAGGTGAGAGATCTTTTAGCAAGTTAGTTCTCGTCAAGAACTCTCTAAGAATTACCATGGGACAGGATCGTCTTAACGGCTGTCTTATCTTTTCAATTTAAACAGATCTTGCGAAGAAAGCCAATTAGGATGTTGTAACTTCCAACTTTGCTGCTAGGGTAGCTCGTAAAGTATTTGTATAACTTCAGAAAAACTTGATACCAAATCCAAAAATGTTTCTTTTTCCTTTGTTGTATTTAATTATTTGATCCGTGAACTGTCTTAATTACAAAATTTAAAAAATATTTTGTGAATACTAAAACCAATAGCTTTATTTTCATATTATTTTTATTTTGGTAGTGGTTTCATAGACATCCAGTAAATTTTTTTATAATATATATCCCGGGCACCATGAAGTCTCTGTGCGCCCTTGACAATGGGAAAAACTTCATTTCACGATGTTTTGACACTTCGTACTAATTCTAATGCCAGCGTTTGTGTTTGAGAACGAAAGTTTATTTTCCCCCAATTATAATGGTAGCTGTTCGCGGCAATGATTATGACGTTTTTCCGATGCGAGGATATATGTATTAATATTTTGGATTGTTTTTATTATTATTTATATTAGATTTTTATAAATATATTTATAAATATCCAAGTATAACAACACGGTGGTCAACATTAGCCAAACAATACCGATTTTTAGTTCTGTCATTAGCTCAACTTAGTGTGCTGCTTTGTATCCTGTATGAATTTTTTGATTAATTTAATTGTGCTATATAATATATATATATATGGCATAATATAATTTTTAAAAATGAGTAAAATATTTGTACAAAGGTTAAATGCAGTTGAGGCTAAAACTGAATGGGTTTTAGAAGATGATTATGATCTTCAAGAGGAGATAGCTCGGTCTACATATGCTGGTATGTTACATGATGTTGAGCGAAATAAAAAGTACTTTAAAGCATTACATAAAACAATAGGTAATCTAAAAAAAACAACAGGAAGTTTAATCAGGGTGTTGGACATTGGTACAGGGACTGGAATTTTATCCATGATGGCTACTTCAGCAGGTGCTGATCATGTAACTGCTTGTGAGGTGTTTGAGCCAATGAGTAGAGCAGCTGAAAAAATCATTAAAAAAAATTTATTTCAAGATAAAATTAATATAATAAATAAGTCTTCAACAAATTTGATTATTCCTTTAGACATGAGTGAAAAGGTTAATGTGCTGGTTACAGAAATATTTGACACTGAGCTTATTGGAGAAGGAGTTTTGCCTACTCTTCGTGATGCACATGAACGTCTTTTAGTTAAAAACTGTAAAGTCATTCCGTCATCAGCTTCTGTAATTGTTCAATTAATTGAGAGCTATAAACTCTCTTGCATGAATAAGCTAGATCAAAATAAAATAAAGTTTTTTAAGGTTCCAGAAGCTTTTGAAGATTGTCCTGGAACTGCTTCAGCACACGAAGTTCAAATTAATCAGTTATACCCAAATCATCTAAAATTGTTATCTGAAGCACAAGAAATGAAAAAATTTGATTTTCAAACACCATATCATCATGATTTTATAAATAAAGAAAGTAAGTATTCAAAATCTGAATCAATAATAAATATTACACAGAGTGGAACTATTGATGCTGTTTTGACATGGTGGGATTTGTATCTTGATGAATCTTCAAAAATTAAACTTAGTATGGAACCAATATGGATGAGGAAAGAGTTATACCATTGGAGGGATCATTGGATGCAAGCAGTTTATTATCTACCTAAAGCTCTAAGGGTTAACAAAGGAGATAAGTTGTTTGTCAGTATGTACCATGATGACTATAGTGTTTGGTTTGATGTTCAAATAAACAAAAATTTATTATTTGTTGATCGTCCTTTATGTTTTTGTGGTTTACATGTATCTTGGTCTCGTGAGCGATTTGCTATGAACAATAGTGATGATATGTCAAATTACTTTACTTCATTAATTGATTATCTAAAAAAGAAAAAGGAATTACATCTAACAGTTGTTGGAGATACATCTTTTCTTCCCCTCAGGTTATATTCTGAAAATGTTTTTGAAATAAAGTATGTTGAGTACTCAGAACTAACTCGTCAATCAATAAAGCAAATCATTGGTACATCTAATATTGAATTTATGACGAAAAAAAAGCTAAAAAATGTACTAGAAGCTAGTTGTATTGTTGCAGAGCCATATTTTTCTACTAGCCTTTTACCTTGGCATCATTTGCAAATTTGGCATATAAAGAATTGTTTTTTAAATGCTCAAACAAATGTAATATTACCTCAAAAAGCTGTCCTAAAGGTGTGTCTGGTAATGCTAGAAGATCTGTGGAAAGTTCGTTCACCAGTAGTTAGTGTAGAATCATTTGATCTAACAATTTTTGATGAACTAATAAGTGATGCTTTACAACCAAAATTAATCGATGGATATGGGTATTTTAGTTTTGCTGAACCTTTTTCAATGTGGGAGTTCAAAAATGTTATTGTTAGTGATATTGTGACATTGTATGAATTCAATTTTCAATATGATACACCGAAAGAACTTTTTCATATTAAACATGAAGTTTTTCTTAAAAAATCATCATGTGTTCATGCTGCTGTAATTTGGTTAGACTTCGAAACTGAAAATATGCAATGGTCAACAGGTTTAAACCAGTCTTCAGAGTGGGTAAATTATAGTAAACAAGGTGTTTATTTTTTCAAAAGTCAATTTTCAGCTGAAGAAGGAACTAAATTTATGTGCTCAGCAGTACTAATTCCAAAAGACTGTGAAATTATGTTTAATTTTTATAGGAACATTTAATTTTTTTTAATTGTTTGTATTAAAAATTATTTGTCGAAAGAATAATAATAAAACTTTATAAAATTATTTACTTAACAACCCATTATATATTTAAATAGGGAATGCAAACTGAAAAACTACCAAAAATTTTTAATTAATATATCATAATTTGGACACATTACTGACATTGTGACTTACAAAATGGTCTTTATGACTATGCTTATTTTATTTTTGATATATACACCAACATTTGGTCCCAATTCAAAATAATGATTACCTAAAATAAGAAAAGTTATTTCAGAAGTTAACCTAAAATAAGGCTAAAAATAGGCTATTTTTGCATTTTAAAATAAATTTTGCATGTCGAAAAAATAAATTCTATTAAATAACATTTGATACTCTAACTAAAAAAATTGTAGCTTGAATTATATACTTTTTGTATGTATGTACATGTTTGTATGAATGTTTAACATTAATATAAAAATAGAATAGTATAAAAAAAAATAGTATAAAAAAATAATTATTGGGTTGACAACAAATGTTTTTTGCTATTAAGTAGAAAGAACATTTTCCATAGATTTTTACATATTGTTCAAAAAGAATAATCTGTAAAAACAAAAAAAAATTTACTGTCTACTAATTACTTTTTTTATTTAGCCGAAAGACTTTTTACTTATATATATTTAACAGTTATTGAATTTTTTTTCTAATCGAAACTATTTTATATATATATATAAAATATTTATTAAAACCTCTTTTATTAAATCATTTTAGAGTTGAACTGAAGCACTTATTCACTAAAAGATGTATACCAATCATTTTGTGTATTAAATATATTAGTTTTGCAATAAAGCATGAAAAATATATGTGCATAGATTTCATTGCATCTGTTTTGATCACCAAGATCACTTTATTTACTAACAACTCCATTTTTTATCTTTGATTTGTCTCTTTTTCAATTAGGGTTGAAAGATTTTGCATAATATATTGTGAATGCGAGTCAAGATATCATAAGCCACCTTATTCTGATTTGATTATATCTACTGGGATTTTCTGGTACCAACTTCAGAATAAATTTTTTTTAGAACAAGCTTCATTGTATTAATGCGTTCTAACTTCAAGTTTCAACATTTTGAGTTAAGCTGGCAGTCCAATATCAGAAAGTGGCAAAGATTGGCAAGGAATTAGTAAATGTTCTTATTATGATATTACAAGAAAAGTGATTTAAGTGAAATTTTATTGAAGTGTTCAAAAACATTTTTGGCTACTATTAGATAATAAAAAAATTTCCTTGCATTTCAAAAGCAAAACAAGAAGAAATTTTGGAGTAAATTTTTTTTTTAGATTTTAGATATTTTGCAATCTAGAGTAAGGTTTTTTTAACTAAAGCTCAAATGCTAAAATAGGTATTCTAAAAAATTTACTTTTGAAAGGAAAATTCATTAAAAACCATCAGAGAGTAAAAAAATCGAAAATCACATAATATTGTTTATATTGAGGATCACATAGTATTTCTTATATTGAGGATCACATAATATTGCTTATATTGACAATCACATAATATTGCTTTTATTTAGGATCACATAATATTCCTTATATTGACGATTACATAATATTGCTTATATTGAGTTATAAAAATGAAAAGTTTTTAGTATAAACTTTTAAAAGTTTTTAGTATAAAGTTTAATATACTTGAAATCTTTTTTAGACTTACCTAAAAAACGATATACTTTAATCATACTCAAAGTCCAAAAAAAAGTTTTTAAAACTTTGAGAAAGGTTATTATGACCACTGTGAAGAGAGGAAAGTTTACCATAACCCTTGTCAATAATTTGAAAAATGCACAAACGAATCAAATAAGCAATATAAATTCAAATCTTTCATTAAGTTTATAACAATTAACTGTTCTTAATGACATTCTGTAATAAATTCCAGGGGATTTGACTGTGTTTGACAAGAATCATATCTTTAAGCCCAAGTATGAACTGGTATGAACTCAATTAACTATTTCTTCAATTTTTAAATAAATATTTAAAATAAATACTTGGTGAAAAAAAAGTTTTAAAAATATTATTATTTCATTATTATAAGGAAATTAATTTAGAAATTAAATAGAGTGAAAGTGAATTTTCAGTACAGTTTTCTTACATAAAAACTGACAACCCTAGTCTTGAAAAAATCTATATAAAAATTTTAAATATAAAAATTAAAAAACATATATATATATATATATATATATATATATATATATATATATATATATATATATATATATATATATATATATATATATATATATATATTCAAAAATATGAAGTTTTTAATTTTTGGTTTTCAACAAATTTTTAACAATAACATCATGTAAATAATCTTTATATAAAATGTTTATTTTTAAAATTTTATAAAATTTCACTTTATTTGGGACCGAGGTAGACTTTTGAATAATTATTTGAGACCTAGATAGATTTTTAAATAATTATTTGGGACCTAGGAAGGCTTTTAAATAATTATTTTTTATTATTTTGATGATATTAATGGCGTTCAAAGTTTGTTCAAGGACTATTCTTAAAAATAAATATTTATAAATTTATTTTTTCAATATTTTCATATTTTGATATAGAAAACAAATAGGGACAGCAACCATCAACAAATATATAGGGACAGCAACCATAAACAAAATATGTTGTATTAACACTTTATGGCTTGAACTCATTTTAAAAAAATATTAATATTTTTACAACAAATAGAGGTTAAAGAAAATGACAGGGAAACATTTTTAATAGGTGTTATGAGAAGTAATAATTGTTGAGTTTGTTTTATTTGAATCGTTGACTTATTAGAATTGTTGTAGTTGTTGTAGTTATTTTGTTTAAAGTGTTGAATTGTTGTAGTGCAAAAAAATAATTGTTGAACTTGAAATAAATGAACAATATTGTATAAACATGATCAACTCAAGACTAGAAAGAAGTGGTAAATTAACCATTGCTAAATCAACAAAAGTTGCTAGCTAAATCAACCATTTCAATGATAATAAGCAATACTTAATTTTACCACTACAATTTTACCACTACAAATACATCAAGCACTTTTTTTGTTCAAAGTAAAGTTAAAAAGTAGTTTACATTTCATATAATATACATAATTATATTTAGTCTTACAGAACTATATTAGTTTTTTGTATATTTGTATTCTGTTCTATGTTATCATAGCAAATAACAATACAAGGGCTTGGTACTGAAGGTTTGCAACCATGCTTCCTTGGACTATCATCGACATCAATAAACGTCTTTGAAGGTCTACCAACTGACCTTAAAGATCTTTCTTAGCAGATATGTGCCTCAGCAACACTGCAAATGAATTTAACAACAATTGCTGACTTTTCTTTGGTGATTTTAAGTGATCAGAACATCAGCTATCTATAAACTTTACTTATATCTACACAATGAAATATTATTTTCAAGTAACACCTCTTTTGTTAATATATCTACACAATGAAATATCCCTTTCAAATGCTTCTTCTCTTTCATTTTTGTGTTAGTGTGTGATAAAGGAGTATAAGCTTATCAGCCAATGCTTTATTGTATCAGTATAGGTAACATTACTTTTTTTTTTTGCAATCTTATCTATTGATATAAAAAAAAAAAACGAATTACCAGTAGTAACCAAAAAACGAAGTTCTACTGGGTTAGTAGCAACACATTTGTTGTCAAACCACTGGAACCCAGCCTGAATTGATAGCAGTTACTGCCACACCATTTTTTAAAATCATTGTTGATAGTAACCATCCTAATATATAAAATGTGTAAAGTACAGTAATAGTAATATTTATAAAATAATGCAATTATTTTATAAATATTTCAATTACTTATTTCTCTATTCTATTTGCTTTCACAAAATAATGATGGTTATTTATTTCTGATAAAAAATATCAGAAATAAGTAACCATCATTATTTTTTGAAAGCAAATGGAATAGAGAAGTGAACATTTAAAATAAAATTACAATTTATTATTAGAATACATTATGATAAAGAATAAACTAGATTTACCATAATCTGCTGTTGCCATATGGCAAAAAATGTATTTTAAAAAGTTTCAAAAAAAAGCAAACAAGAAAAACAATAACAATTGTACATTTGTAGAAACTAAGAACATATACTAACACTATACCAAAACAATTTTTAAAAATTTATTTTATAATAAATCTATCTATTAAACAAAAACACCAGAGTCTAAGCCAAAGTGCAAATGTTAGGACTTAAAAGTTATTGAAAAGTAAATCGTAACCATATACTTGGTTATATATACAAAAAAAAATTAACATTTTTTTTTACTGATAGATCATTATAAAATAAAATGACACTTTAAAATTGAACAAATTATTGATTTTTGAAACATTTTATGTTTTAATGGTTTTAAAAATATATTTTTAAATTTTTTTCATGTTGTTGGACTTGTAACTAATTTTTCATTAATTATAATAAAGTTTATACATTTATGTTAAATAATAAAAATATATGACATTTTTATTTATCTGTTTGTTTATTGTTGTGTATGCATTTTAGAAATTTGTAATATTTTCATCCTGTTATTTATTTTTTTACTAAATTAAAAATATGTTGTTTTTAAAATTTTGTTGTTGTTGTTTGTTTAGGGAATATAAATGTAATGGTACGTAAAATAAGAGCTTATAAGCATGTGTTTGGACTTTTTCTATTTTTATCTCTCTGCATTTTATTTTATTACTCGCTTAAAACAACATTACATAAGTATAAAGACTCTCCCATTTCATTGGTGATTGCAAGTTCTCAAAAATTATCGCCTCATGATGAACACATGAAGCGACTCTATGAAAATAGCTTGAAATGGTCATCTTATTCTAAAGGATTGAAAATGAAATATCTCCTAGAAAATCCAATTTATGCAAAATGGAATATGAGCAAAGCTAAGAAGAAAAAAAAAGTAACGATACTTTTAGTTGTTTCTTCAGGTCCTAAACGTTTTGATCGTCGTCAAGCAATTAGAGAAACATGGTGGACACAATGTAAAGTTACAGGCAATGTATAAAAAATTACTTTGCTAATTTTCTTCTTATTGTTTTCATTCTAAAGGTTTCTCTAGCAAAGTGACACTTAACACCAGGTATTAAAAATTATTACATTTAGTATAACATTCACAAAAAAAAAAGAAGTTATATTTAAGAATTTTTTCTAACTTTCGAAATCATAATAAACAAATTATTAAAGTTAAAGTTGTAAACAGAGTTAATTTTTAGTTTTAAAGCTCAGGTCTATGATGTATTTTAGTTACGTTTTTTTGTAGGAGAGCGCATTATTAAATCAGACTGATAAGCAAACTATAATTAAAATGCAGTTTAAAAAAATATTATTTTAAGAATTTAGTAGATTAAACACTGTGCTCTCCTGAGATTGCCAGGGTAAATTTTGGTTTACTCTAATTTTTTTGTTTTATTATTATTATTGGGTTTGGTAAAGTGTCATAAAATAATTTTTAAAATCTAAACTCACTTTTAAACATCAATTTGTTAATTAAAATATCTATAAAAAGTCATTTTATGATTACATCATATTTTCAAAATGGATAAAAATACTAATATTTCATAACATTTCAAAAAGTATTTATATGAAACATTTTGTCGAATTGGCTGAAGCAAAATGTTTAGTTTGTGAAAGTTGTTTTATTGCCTTCGTGAAAAGGATCAAAAAAATTTATTAAGGTAATTCTTGCCATACAATTCCATATTCAAAACTTATTTTGGATGTAAAATATGATGTAGACGAAGAGTGATGTCTAAAAAACATTTTACTTCTTGCAAAACAAATTGATATGCATTTATTATGAATGGATCATTAAAATTTAATGATTGGATTGAGAAAATGTCTATAGTTAACAGACAAAAACTCAAAAATTCATATGATTTTGGTGAAATATTTGAACAGGTGGAAAAAAATAATCAAGATGTCGATAGAGTTATTATATATATGTATATATATAAGAGTTATTATATATATATATATATATAGAGAGAGATAGAGTTATTATATATATATATATATATATATATATATATATATATATATATATATATATATATATATATATATACATACATATATAAATATATGTATATATATATATATATATATATATATATATATATATATATATATATATATATATATATATATATATATATATATATACGGGAAGGCGTGTGATTGCACATCTTTAAATGACCACGCAAAAAATGTCTTAAAGATTTGACCACAGCTTTTGACATATTTTCAAAATTTAAAAATGCCCTACAAAAACAACTAAACTTATCTAAAAAAAAAAAATTGTAAAAAGAAAAAAAATATATAATTATATAAATAAAAAAATACAACAGTTAATTAATACTTATTTTAAAAATTATTTAGAAGTGTTTTGTTATTTCATTGAAAAGCGTTTTGATAATATAAAAGCATTTAAGATCAAACTTATTTAATTGTAGCAGCTTTCTAAAACTTTTTTTTTCTCAAAAAAACTTTTGTTTATCTTTTTAAATGTATTAACTTTAATTATTCTTATAATTTATTTTTTTATTTTTTTATTTTTATTCACCTCCTCAAGGCCGAGAAGGCCACTATAGACGAGGAGGCTACTTAATAGTGGTTATAACCCTCTCTCAACTCTATATCTCTGAAACACGAACCTTGACGAACAAGGCCGCTGCACGGAGAAACAAGTTGAGCGCGGTACTACCAGGGACGTGGTGGGGATCAAACTCGGAACCTCTCGCTTATGAAGCGAGTGTTTTACCACTACACCTCTGCTGCATGCAAATTAAATTTGTTAAAGAGACTTTCGTAGTCGTAGAATATCATCATTTATAAAAACAAAACATTTTTTTTTTAATAACGTTTATTATAGAAATGTATACTTAAACAATTTATATATTATAAATTAAAAAAATATATACAACTGTTAATTATATTTAAAAAAAACAAAAACATCAGTAAATTGATACTTTATTTAAAAGAGCGTTTCGCTAATATAAAAACTATTGTTAAAAGTTTTGATGTGATTAGTTTCACTTTTTCAGAATATTTTCCATTTAGGGCATTTTTAAAATGTTTTTTGAATTTGCCACAGTCAAATCATCACAGCAAAATGTAATTTGCCTGGTCATATAAAGATGTTCGATCACACGCCTTCCTGTGAAAGCCTGATATATATATATATATATATATATATATATATATATATATATATATATATATATATATATATATATATATATATATATATATATATATATATATATATATATATATATATATATATATATATAATTTAGATTCACTCCCAATAAGGCTGCAAGCAACTACTATTAAATTGGGAGTTACTAGAAGAAAAAAAAAAGATTTATAGAGCAAGGAAACGGTTGACAGAAGACTTAAAAAGTTGTTAAAAGAAAATGGGAGAAAGTTCCAAAGCGTTGAAGTGCAGGAAAAAAAACTAGAAGAATAAAATATTTTAGAGCATGCAGAAACAGATATAGTAAAAAAATTAGATTTTGCTGAATGAGGAGTCAAGTAAGAATGAGTTTTAGTTGATGAAACTAGAGATGATAGCTCCTTTGAGCAGTAACCATGATAGTATTTGTAGAAAAAAAAAAGAGAAGTAACTTTATGGCGATATTCTTTTGAAAAAGATAAAAAAATGATTACGATTAGATACAACAGCTGCACAAGAAGAATAAAGTTGTGCGATGATTGGGTCCAAAGAAGTACAAGATAAAAGGTTTATAGAGATAATTGCGTTTTCAGAACCACCCAATGGTAGAAAAAAGAGAAATTGAACACAAGCTACGATCGGAGACAAGGCACAAATTAAGGAGTAAAAGTAAATGGTTAAGGTTGTCAGGAAAACGTTAACTAATTGAGTAAGAGATTGAGAAATGCAGAGGAACTATGGTCTGGAGGAAATATTTTGATATCTGTTACCTACCACCCTCTCCCCATATGTTACATTATAAGTTGTAACTGTTTTTATAAAAAGAATGTTTAAAAGTTTAGATTTTAAAAATATTTTAAAACACTTTACTCTACCCAATAATAATAATAATAATAATAATAATAATAATAATAATAATAATAATAATAATAATAATAATAATAATAATAATAATAATAATAATAATAATAATAATAATAATAATAATAATAGCAATAATAATTATAATAATAATAATAATATTATTATTATTATAATAATCAAGCAAAAACGTTTATAGTAAACCAAAATTTACCCTGGCAGCAGTTTCGTAATAAGTGGGTTGGAAACTCCCCTAAACCTGCCATTTAGGTTCCAAAATCTTAAATATTTTTCAACTTGGTATTACCAAAAAATAAAGACAAAAAAGCTCCTTAAATTTTGAAAAGAACCCCTAAATTTTCAAATGTGCCCCATAAAATTGCTTGGTGTAAGAGAGCCTAGCCATGGCTCTGCCTGGCACTATCAGAAGAGCACAGTGTAGACAGCTGTTTGTGCTACTTGAACTAGCGAAAACATTATTGAGCTTTTCCAAAAAAATTTTCCTCATATTTGGTAGTATTTCTTTTAATAATATTACATAACTTTTAGAACCCATAATTAAGAATAAAAATATTTCATTCCATCCTAATGCTTATACTAAGATGCCAAAAAAATCCTCATTAATCTATAAAAGATTATAGTAGAACTGTTACCCAAAAAGTCATTATGGTTACTATATGATTGATACATAGTCGCTATATGTTTGATACATGGTCACTATATGATTTATACATGGTCACTATATGATTGATACATGTTCACTACATGGTTGATAGATAAAATTTAATTACTTTTTAATCATGTGTGGAAGTCATATAATATCGCATATTTATACAAATGAAGTGTATAAATAATTTTGATAAAATAAATTATGTATTATACCACATGAAATCACCCAGTCCATTAAACCATGTTTCTTTCTTTTTATTTCAAATTTTGACACATGATGATCCCTATAAATAAATAAACATTGCAAAGTTTCAGCCAAAATTTCAAGTGGCTCTAAAGGTATCACACACCAGATAATCTGTGGTCACACACCATATAATCGGTTTTAAAAAATAATTGATGATTTTTATGATCACCATGTGATTAATGAATAATTTTAAATAACACATAAATGCATGTAAATTTAAATAATGAATAAATACATGTAAATTAAATATATTCAATTTACATTTAATGAACAAAATGAGGTACCAACTTTGACAGCCCACATGCTAGATATATAAACCAAATTTATTTTAAAAAAAAGAAAAAATTTCAATAAATCAAATCAACAAAAACATGTCATCCTATGTTTTGGATTTTGCTAATTTAAACTAATGTTAAAGGGTTTATTAGTAAATATTAGTAACTATAAGTATTAGTAACTATAAATATTAGCTGTAAGCATGCAAAATATTTCATAAAATAATTTAGATAATTTACTATAAGATACATTGATTGCTATAGATACATTGACATATTGATAGCAAATTATGTAATGATAACAAAGTGGGTGGAAAGTGAAATGGTAACAAATAAGGACCGGCGAATATTCGTTAAAATTCGGATTACGAAGTTTACTGAAAGTAATATAAAGAAGAAAAAGCAGTGGTCCTAATACTAAACCCTGGGGAACACCATTAGAACATTTTACAAGGGTAGATTTTGAGTCATTAATAGAAACAAATTGTGTTCTATTGTTTAAATATGTAGTAAACCATTTAAGCGGTATGCCTCTGGTCCCATATTATTCTAATTTTTTCAACAAAATTTAATGATCCACTGTGTCAAACGCTTTATGTAAATCAACAAATACACCACATGCAAAACATTTATCATCAAGTGCTTTTCTAATAAGTTCAGTCATTTCAATGAGAGCATGAGTTGTGGAGTGATTGGCACAAAATCCATACTGATGGGTGGAAAAGCATTTAAAATTTTCAAGAAAAAAGTATAGCCTATTTTGCATTGCCTTCTCAAAGAGTTTATCTATATTAAAAAGCAGTGAGATGAGAATAAGAACAATTGCAACTCCAATCTAGTTAACTCGTCTTTTATAAATTCTATACATAAATCAAACCATTTGCATTTTAGGTAGAAGGGAAACATGTAAAAATAACAGTTAAAATGTGAAATTAAAATTAAAATGACCGTTAGTTCTTCTTAGGGCACCTGAATAACAAATAAATAAAAAAATTACTTTGAATCCAGGAGGTTATGTAGGAGGCGCATTTATCAGCTGAGAGAGAAAAAACATCAGATGATAAGGTGAGCCCAAAAATGAAGTACAAGAAGAAAGATTTATAGAGATCATTGCATGGTCAGAACCACCAAAGGGAGAAAAATGGGAGAAACTGAACATAAGCTAGAGACAAGACATAAGTGAAGGAGCGAAGGTAAAAGATTAGGGTTGTCAGGTAAACGAGTCACAAAGTTAACAATCTGAGTAAGAGACTGAGAAGTGTAGAAATTAAAGTCTTTAGTGCCAGCAGGATCAGTGGTGTTAGAGCCAAGCCATTCAGTGTGATGGGCATTAAAATAACTAACAACAAAAATATTGGTAGAGTGGTAGAGAGAGAGGGCATGTTCAATTTGATCAGAGATAACATCTAAAAGAGTGCAATCATGGGAAGAATAACATCTAAGAGATAACATCTAAGAGAAAAGTGATAGAGTGAAGAGGTGCTAGGCGAAAGCACATAAAATAATGGTCAAAGGATTCGAACCTGATTTCTCGACAAATAGGGGAATTAATGCGTATGTATACCCCTAAACCTAGCATGTGACTATTGGAGTCTTTACAAATCAAAGGATAGTACCCATCAACACTTACATCTGAAGAAGGAATTGCAGAATTTAAATTTGTTTCACTGAGTGAATTTTGTGGGAGGTAGGACTCAACTGACGGAAAGTTGCTTCGCAGACCGCGAATATTTGTAAAAGATATATTCAAACATTTAGGTGGTGGGGATGGTTTTTTAGGTTTAAAATTTTTCAATGATCAATGAGCTATGCAGTTGCCTGAGTCCTGTTAACTAACCCTAAGCCGTGACATAGGGCTCCTTATGTGGCCTTGACAATGCACACCAAAAGCATTAACAGGGACACCATCCGCACGCAACATGGCACTGTTAATACTCTGATATTTTGCAGCTGTTGATGGAATCAGCTTCTCTGAGAGCTACCACAGAGTTCAGAATCTTACTACCAGCCGGCCTCAGAACCTTTAAACTGAGTTTTAGAGCTGTACCCTCGTATGGAGATAATAGGAAGAGTTGCATAGCCATTATCAAGGAGGCATTAAATTGTTTTTTTGTAAGCGTATACTTTTTTAATAAATTAAAATTTACTTGGCTTCACGTGTTCTATATTAAGTTTTAAGTTATGGTTAATTACAAGCTAAAAAATGATAACCTTAGTTTATAAAAAATTATTATTCAGCAACCGTTGCGCAGTGGCTAGAGGGCTTGTTTTAGAAGCAATAGACCTAGGGAAGCAAGCTCTAGGCATATTTCGCACCATCGGTAAAAAAAAAAGTTTGAACTTTCAATTTTAATACTTTTCTGATGTACTCCGTGGAAAAACCGTTAAATCTTCTCGGAACATTTAAAGCAAAAAAAGCAAAAAAAAAAATTTTTTATAAAACTTAAAAAAATCTTAAAAAATTTCTTTTTTAATTAAATGTGTTTTTAAAATCCAAATTCGTCTTTCAGTTAAGTTCGGTATACGCATTTAATCTAAATTCGTCTTTCATATAACTTTGAGTCTTAAAAAGTCGACTTCGCCGGTCCCTAGTAACAAATTGGGTTTTATGATAATAAAAAATAATTAAAGTTTTATTGGTAGATATTACGTTTAAAAATAAAGCTTGATAAAATAGTTCTCAAGTTCTTCTGATCTCTTTATGTGCTTCCGTCAATTATTGACTAGTCAATATCTTTATGTGTTTTTGGTCACCTTAATGGCTTCTGATCATCTTTCATTTTTTTAAATTTATTTTACTTTTGTTTGTGTTTCAGTGTATTAATCCATAACTAAATAGTTATCAATAACTAAGTAGTGAATTTTTTGTTTTGTTTTTTTATTGCACAGTAATTTTTTTTTAGGTGGTACCTGAATGTATATTTTTTACTGATCGTCAACAGCCTGGTGATAAATATTATGAAAATTTACTGTCAGAGTACAATAAGTATGGTGATATTCAGTTTCAACCATTGCGTGGTGGTGTTGAATTTGGAATGCGATTTTTATATCATTTGGTGTGGGCTATGAATTATTACGAGTTTGATTATTTTTTACGTTCTGATGACGATTATTTTTTATGCTTTGAGAGATTTTTATTAGAACTCCCTCAACCAATGCAAAAGGAGTTTCATTGGGGTTTTGTTCATTGTATTAGTGAGTTAGTCCGCCCAGAAGAGAGTTTAATTTTGCTTTCACGAGATCTAGTTGAGATTTTTCTATCACAACCACCACAACTTATTCTTTGTCATCCACTTGCTGACCAAATGATTGGTGTATGGGTTACAGGTTTAGGGATGAACAACTTGTATAGACACGATTATCGTTTACATCATGCACCTATTGTTGATCAAGCTCCTCATTTGCGAAATAAAAAAAACATTTGTAGAAAATTTATAGGAATACATGGTACTTACTCTAACGATATGCATTTGTTTTGGCAATCAAAAGGTATGCCGCTTATAAATAAAACAGTTAAAGATTTAAATGAAAAACTTGGAAATTTAATTACCAATTCTGAAGTATGTGAGTTAGTACATAATTTTAATTATTTGAACTTCGAACCTGAATGGCAATATGAACCACAACGATGCATATACAATCCTTTGTGGGATACAGGAAAACAAGCAGTGCTTGATGGAGTTTATATTGGGAGGCAAGATGATCATAGACTAGCAAAAGAAGACATTAAAAACTTTGTAAATAAAAAAAAAAGTTTTTGAAAATTTGTAAAAAAATCGTTTTTTTCTTGGTAAATTTCTTCTTGTAAATAAATCAACTAAAAAATTACAAAAATATTTTTTTTTAAATCATCTATAGAAATTTATTATTCTGTTTACTATTGAAATTTTAGTGTTCTATTTGTTTACTCTTTACATTCAAGTTTATTATTGTTTATTTTTGTTTATTTATTACAATTATTAATTGCTTATATATTTTACAAAATCAGCAGTTGTAAAGTATTTTTGATTAAGAAAAATGGCAGGCTACACACGACAACATCATTACATTAGAGTGCGTCTTTTGATTCTTTATTCCTTTTTGTTACCATTTATATATTGCTATATTTTAGATAATTTGTTGTTTATTTTTAATTTAAATTGTAGATTTTTTTTATTATTATTTGAGCTTTTATTTTATTTAAGTTAAATTAAAAAAAAATTTATCAAACTGCTGTATCAAAATTATTTTAAAAGGTTGTCTCATTAGGTTGGTCAAACTATTGTATCAACTGAAGTTCAAATTTTAAGAACTGATATCAATGAATGCTGGTTTACACATGATAAATTAGAGGTTTAAAGTTTCTTAAAGGTTAAACTTAATTACATGTAGTTACACATAACAACATGTAGTTACACATAATAACATGTAATTACACACACACACACACACACACACACACACACACACACACACACACACACACACACACACACACACACACACACACACACGCACACACACATATATACATATGTGTATATATACAAATTTTTAAAAGAATTTTAATAAGAACATTTTACAAACTAAATGGTGTGGCGGAATATGTCGCAAATTTGATTGTCGAAAATGAGAAAAAGAAATAGTGTTGCAAATTGTCGCATTATTCATTGTCGAATAACAGAATAAGTAATGTCGCAAATAAATTTAATAAATAGTGTCGTAAATAGAAAGAGAAATTATGTCGCAAAGGAGTTTAATGAATAGTGTCAAAAACAAAAAAAATAAAAAATAGTGTTGCAAATAGTAAAATGGGAATAGTGTCGAAAACAAAAAAAGGAGTATTGTCATAAATTTAATTAATAGTTTCAAAAATAGAAAAAGGAATAATGTTGTAAAGGAGTTTAATGAATAGTGTCAAAAACAAAAAAAATACTAATAGCTATAAATGTGTGTTTAGATAATATGTCTGATGTCATACTGAAATAGCCTGGGGTTCAGTACATGCATCAACTATCTTATAAACTGCTGTCGCAAAGGAGTGCCGTTATGTTGACTGAGGGTTTGGGTTGGGTAGCAATCTTTTTTTTTTTGTTGTTGTTTTTTTCTCTTTTTTTTTTTCTGTAAAAGAAGTATGCTATAAAGATAAGCAAAATGAGTAAGCAATGGCTGATCTATATACGCTTTAGTTGATATATATATATATATATATATATATATATATATATTCACATATATTCATGTATTAACTATTTGCAACACTATTCCGTTTTTACAATTTACGACACATAATTCCTTTCAAATTTGTGACACTATCCTTTTTTTTCGTTTTTAACACTATTCATTAAATTCATTTGCAACACTATTCATTTTTTTGCAACACTAGGCCTTTTTAATATATTCGACACTATTCCGAAGTTCATTTTTCAACACCATTCCTGTCACCCAACTGAATTTTACATGGCTTGTCATTTAGTAGTCACATCACTGTAACTATCTTTGCTCAAAACATTTAGTTTTTTTTACCTCTAACATCCTTCCTACCTTCCTTCTAACATCCTTCCTTACTCAAATAGTTTACAAATAGTCTATTTAATTTATTTTATTTTGTCAACTTTTTTCTCTTTAACTATCTTCCCTTTTCCTAATAACTGCCAATATTTTTAAATTGAAAGTTTGCTTTAAAAAACTTTTTTTTCAATACAGAGAATTATAATGATGATGCAAGGTTTTCTGATCAATGAAGTAGATAAAGGTTTAACAACTTATGATCAAATGTATTTTGCAGAAGGTTTTTACTTTATAAAATTTATAAATTCTGATATTGGAATAATTTTTAAAATCTTTATTTCATTGTTTTTTCACTTGTGTATTTTAGAATATGTGCATTTTAGAATTTTTTTTTTTATATTTTTAGATGATTTGCTTGCTGTATTTTACCACTTCAAGAAAAAAAGATGTGATTTCGTTTTAACTCGTAAAAAGGTTTTAGTACATATGTGTATATATATATATATATATATATATATATATATATATATATATATATATATATATATTTCTTTACTTCAAGAAAAAAAGATGTGATTTCGTTTTAACTCGTAAAAAGGTTTTAGTACATATGTGTATATATATATATATATATATATATATATATATATATATATATATATATATATATATATATATATATATATATTTCTTTACTTCAAGAAAAAAAGATGTGATTTCGTTTTAACTCGTAAAAAGGTTTTAGTACATATGTGTATATATATATATATATATATATATATATATATATATATATATATATATGTTCAAAAAAAAAATTAAATTAAACGACACACTATGAGGTCCAAATCACAAAAAAGTGTCCAAAAGTTGATTTTAAAAACTATTTCAATATTAGTAATTTTTTTATAATTTAGAAAGTATATATACCCAATTACTGGAAAACATGTTTTGCAGAAATTTTATTACGAGTTTTACGAGTTTCATGAGTAACATTTAATGCTATATAATTACAAAAAAAATCAAGAAAATTTCAAGATTTTTTTAAAATTTTTGCATCATTAAACAATATTGAAAATTTTTTTAAATTTTATTTTCTTATGTTATTTACTAATTTTATTTTCTTATGTTAGTTACTGTTTTAATTTAAAAAAAAGTAATAACTCGATTTTTTAGCCTTAGATTTAGCATTTTTAAAGTAGAGTTTAATTTTTTCAAGATGTGTGTTTTAATGGTCACATTAACTGAAAAAACTTTATATGTCCACTTTTCACCCCTTCATAATTTCTACCACATTATTATGAATGTATTGGGCACAGAAGCAAATAATTTTTTAGCTGCTCGAATTTGCTCCACTTCAATTAAATGTCAATTATTTCTGGACACTATATTACCCGGGAGGAAGTGGGGGGTGGGGAAGTGGAAAGAAAATTCAAATATACAAAACTTCATTTTAGTATTTTTATGACTTTAGATATCTAAAATTAAAAAATAAAAGTGTTTAAAACAGTATATATATATATATATATATATATATATATATATATATATATATATATATATATATATATATATATATATATATATATATATATATATATATATATATATTAAAACTACTAACATAGCTAAAAATAAATTTTAAAAATCATTCTTCCACCAATAGTTTTAAAACTTCAGGATCTACGTTAACAGCTCCAATGGATTTAGTTATTTTGAAGCTGATTGAAGGTACTATTGGATCACTTCACAACAGCAGATAATGATATTGGTTTTCCATTGCATTCTTTTTCGAAATTTTATGATTTACTATCATGTATGATTTAGTTTTGCATTTCGATGATCATGTATGATTTTGTCTTGCATTTCGAATATATTTATTTTGTGCTTCCTAAGCTTCTTCTGAATATATACCTATTGGGAGTTCAAAACAATCAAAAATTTGATAACCATGCTCTAATAACTTGTGTACAGTAGGTGGCATTATGTACCAGTTATATTTTTCAATTATCATTTCAGGAAGGCCTCCAGATCAAAGTTGTACCCACTACACACAGCTATATATTTCTCAGTTTAACAATAATGTTAAAATCAACTCCTGTAATATCTGCAAAAGTATCGGCATTCTCAAATGCTCTTCTGGCTGTGTTACCTGTGTTTGAGGAACCATAGCCATGCTTTGGCATATTGACAACAAGACTGAGCTTGCTTCTAAACCAATTTTGAAGTTCATTTTTTGCTCAATAACAGAAAGCTTATGTTCTTCTGATCTTGCCTAATTATTTTCATTTTATTTTTTAAGTGTAGAACATACTCAAACAATCTAATCCAACAATGTAAAGTAGATAGTCCCATTTTAAGAGACTTTTCATCAGGAGTAAACATTCTGATTTTTAGTAGATTGTTCATCTCACTTGGCTTTGCAAAACAAACATTGCATGATTTCGATGAATTCAAAGTCATGACACAAAATCACACAAAGCCATGACAGCATTTACAGATTTTTCATCAAGCATAGTTAAATCAACAACAATTTTAGTTTTTACTTTACTAAAATTTAAAAAATTACTAAAAAGATTTAGATCTAAAATATATTGAGATTTTCAATTTGTTTTTTAAGATTTATTTCTTCTTCTGCAATGAGTTCACTTGTTTCCTTTTGGTATTGTAGTTGAAGAGATCAAGAAAAATGAGGGCTTGATGGTTTTGGATTATTTCAGATGTTTATATCCCCATTTCTTAACTTCAAAGGAACTATTGCAGTTTGAAATACTGATTGTTTATTCTGCATTCCAGTAGTAAGATGAGTATCATCAAATCTTTGATTGTAAGTGCTTTGTGAAGATGCCCCATCCATGCCACATTTCAAATTAAATACTCCATTTGTAACAGTTTCATCTCAATTCTGAAGCTGTTCAGACATTAGTTTCAAACAGACAAAGTACGGTTAGCCATGCTCTGTAAACTTTGCAGAAGTTTCTGTAATAAACCCGTTGAGTAGCAATCTTCTTTTGATTTTTAGATTGTTTTTAATGGGGGATAAATGTCAGCATTTTGCATCAGAGATGAGTTGCAAATAATTTGATATTGTGAATCACTCCAATCACAATGAACTTTAAGTGACAAAGCTTGATCTGCAGACATCATAATTGGCTGATGTTTATCGCTTTTTTTTGTTTTACTTGTTTGATTTTTAGAAAACATTTTAATACTGATTCCCAAATCTGATTTTTCAGGACTTGATTTTGCATGTACAACAACAGCTTCTGCTAACTCTTCAGTTGAATGGGTTTAGCCAATCTAAAATAACATAATCATTATTGTATAAAGTGTTTCTATTATGATAATGCAAATTTTTATAAGGGTTAATCAACTCATTTTCTTATGTGTTGAAATTAATCTCTCATAATTCCACGCTTGTACCACTTAGGCGGTTTTCCTTAGAACAATTTATTAATTAAAATAATGCTATGAAAAATGTAAAGCCAACTTTTTCAAATTATTGCCCTTCCAACTCTAAACTAACATAACAGGACTTAACTAACATAACAAGACCTTAATCAGAAGATAACTTAAAATAATAGGGCTGAGTATTTTACTGAGTATTTTTACCATAAGGCTATCACTAGGAAAATTACCATAGAAGGTTTAAAGACCCGTCCTACCGATAACCAAATTTAAGAGGGGATCTTATATTTGAATTTTTTTCTCCTATTTGATTTCCTTCACCATGGCTAAAGAGCCTCACCTGCTTTACCTATATTTTTATTACATACATTTTTATTTATTTGTTTTTTAAACCACAGGTTTTTAAAAATAAAGACAATAATTACTACTATAGTTGAAATTATCTTGGAACTTTCCTTCTTTTTTGTTCTTAATGAATACTCTGTCCATTTTTTTCCTGGTCTTCCAGCTTTTAAAGCTAAATTAAGTTCAGCGTTTTTATTCTGGAATAACTCACCCTTTAACCAGGGTACTTCTTGTTTAGTTAGTCTAGCAAAATACGATTATGCTTTGTATATTTGACTCAGAATTTCAGAATAAAAAGTCTAAATTTCAGAATAAATTTTTTTCTGAGAGTTCCACATTGGACAGTTCTTCATTGGTAAGTTTTTGCTTCAGCTTCTAAAAGAGTTTGCAAATTCATGTGATTAATACCAACTTCTTCATTTATGTTTAAAAGTTCTAATCTTTTCATGTTTAATCAACAACAACAAAAACACTTGAATAATCTTGCAAATAAAGTTTTGTACACTTTATAATAAATACTTTCCGAGAATAAATCAATATTAACTAACGTGTCAGAAAAGGATTATTATTTTTTTAAGTTTCAATAAAAAAATATAAAATTATTAATATTAGTATAAAAAATTGCTCCAAGTTCACTTTTTATAAAAAAGAAATAAAAAAAAAAGCTTTGGCCACTTTATCACAGTTTAGACTCACAGTGCAATGACTTTAGACAGTGAAGGTTTTTTTAATAAACTTTACATAAGAATCATTAAAGTTTTTGTTGAGAAGAAAAAAAAAGACAAACTTTTTTGAAAGCTGTTTGAATTAAGTAACTTTGATCTTTACTTACGTTTTTATAATGCATTTAAATAAAGTAGCACATTTAAATAAAAAGTAACAAATCACTTCTAATGATTTTTTTATAAAAATATTAATAAATAATATATATTTTTTTAATATTATATAAGTATTTATTTTTTATTATAAATATTTTTAAATAAAAAAAAATTATATCAGTTTTTTAAATAAACAATTTAATTATTTTTTCTTTTGTGCGAAGAATTGTTAAGAATATCTTTTTAAACTTTTAAATGTGCGCATTTATTAAATTATCGTCAGTTGTTAGTAAGTTGTTACTTTATTTAAAAAGGGTTAAATAAAAACATTAGTAAAGATAAATGTTTTAAAGTTATTTATTTCAAACGTAATTTAGATATTCTTATCATCATAGTTTATTATTTATATCAGTTAAGTTTTAATTTAATTTTTGCTAATTTAGTTTTAGTTAAGTTATTTTAATTTTGTTTTTCATTATCTTTTTTTACAAAGGTTTATTTGCTTCTTTAACAATAATTTTTTTTAAGTTTCTTTATTGTTAAGTTAAGATTTAATTTAATTTTTTTTAGCGTGTTTTTAAAACGTATACAAAACATTAAACAGCCGTGGTCAAGTTAAGTAAAATCAAATGGTATTTGCGTAGTCATATTATGACGTGAAATTGCACGCCTTCCTGGCTCAGCCTATATATATATATATATATATATATATATATATATATATATATATATATATATATATATATATATATATATATATATATGGTTTTTTTGTTTTTGTTTTATTAAAAAAAAATTTTTAAACCTGCGTGGAGTGTTGCTATATGACTATCTTATAGCCTGCTGCTACAAGGGAGTGTTACTACATTGGCTATCTTATAGCCTGACTTGCAACGGAGTGCCGCTGCATCAACTGAGGGTTTGGTTAGGGCAGGCAGTCTATCATTTTATTAAAAAAAAAAATTATTCAAGTTATTAAATTTTTTCTGGTCTGGTTTATTAGCACTCTCTTCAAAACTAAAGTTTATGGGAAAAACTTTTTGACTACCATGCAAGACTATATATATGAGATGCGAAAAAATTACGAACACTTTAGTGTTTGTTTTTTGTAGAATCCCCGTAAGTGAAAAACTATACAAATATATATATAGTAGTGCTGCTACATCGACTAAGGGTTTGGTTAGGCCAGGCATCAAGGTCAGGCTTAGGGTTAGGATTACGGCAAGGTTTAAATTTGGTTATATTATTGTAATTAATCGTTTTTGTAAATAGATGAAGTTAAAAATGAAATATAATATAAAATAAATAAATAAAAATAACAAAAATTAATATAAAAAATATATTTTTATAATAAAATAATAAATTTAAATATGTATAAATAAAAGTAGAAATAAAGTATAAGTTAAAAAAATATATAAATATGATAAAAATAGTATGAAAAAGTAAAAAAACAAAACAGAGCAAGAACATATATATATATATATATATATATATATATATATATATATATATATATATATATATATATATATATATATATATATATATATATATATATATATATATATATATATATATATATATATATATATATATATATATATATAAATATCTTATGAAATAAGTAGTTGAATATGGATTCATACCTGAAAATGCAAGAGCTGATTTTGAGAAATGTGGTTTGTTTCCATTAAATCACAACAAAATAGCTGATTGTCATATTAATGAAGTATTTAAGCCAGTAAATGAAAATAATACAAATAATGCATCAACATCAGCATTAACTACAACACCGAGAACATCAAACCCACTAGTGAAGCGTAATAATTTATTGCGAGAAATAATGTAGTAAAATCTAATCTAGATACCACTTCAACTAATATGGAAAATACGCTAGTTAAAAAATTGCAAAGAGAAAAAAGCTCAGTCCAGAAAAAAAAACAAGATGTACACAAGTAAAAGGTAATTGCCTTCAGATGATTTTGTTGCTCAATTAATAGCTAAAAAAGATGAAGATAAAAAGAAAATAAATGAAATAGCTCAACGAGCAAATGATAGAGCAACAAAACAAAAAGAAATTGCTGACAAGCATAAAGAAGATGCTGAAAAATGTAAACAAGTTGAAAAACGAAAACATGCTTCTGAAAAATGTAAAGAAGAAAATGAAAAATGCAAGCAAGTAACAAAGACAAGTAAGCATAATGCAAAAAAAAAATAAAAATTAATGAAACAAATGAAATTGTTGAGTCCACTGTAGTCGCAAACACAAATGAAGCTATTGGCGATAATCAAAATACTATTCCTTCATGGCAAACCACACAAATTATTCAAAGCACAGCTATCAATGGATGAATTGTAAAATTAGATGTGGTAAATGGTTTTGTGGTATATGTTAATTTTTATTAATGAGATATAATTTCAATTTGAATTTATATGTTTTTGAATGCATTTTGAATGCATGCAACAGTTATCTGTTGAATAAAAATCTGAAATTAAATGAATTGTATTTAAAAAAAAAATTCGATCATTAAATGTATGTGCGTGTATGTGAATTTTTTTTTATTATTAAAAAAAAAAACGTTTTATTTTCGCAACTGATTTTTTCCATACTTTTTTAATCGAATCCGAATTAACATGCACTGCATGATATTTGGAACTTTTTAGTAGTGTTTTTATAATTAAATTCGTAAATAAAAAACATAGCCCTTTTTTTTTTTTAAATGGTTTTTATGCAGCTTGTCGAGATCTACAAGATTATCTAAAAATATTTTTAAATTTCTAAAGTTTAAACGTTTTTTTCATTAAAGTTTTCATTCAAAGATAAAAACGTGCGAAATATGCTGTAAATTACTGTCAATTTGTATGCCAGTTTCTTTTGTATCTTGTCACTTTTTGTGTTTTTTGTATTTTTTTTTTTTTTACAAAGTATCATCAGGCCATCGTCACAATCATTATCAAGTTTTTTTTTTTTTTTTTTGCTTCTAGTCATTTTTAATTTTTAGTATTAAAAGTAAAGCTATATATAGTTTTTTGCTTTTGACTTTATTGATTTATTTTTTTTTATTATTTTTTTTTTTGTGATGAAGAATTTGCAGAACAGTAATGGTTAGTGTTTTTACAACTTTTATTTTCTTTATAAAGTTTGAAGTTCAAATAAAAATTTATCAAATATATTATTATGTTATAAATAATATTAAATAAAATTTAAATTTAAATATTTTAAGTTTTTACTAAAATATTTTATCTTAAGCATTTGCTATTGTTTATTTATTTTCAGCAGGTGGAAATTATGTTGGTTATTTTGAATTTCCTTACATGCTTTTCATCACTGTGAATCAAAAAAGGTTTGAAAACAAAATTTTATCTCTTTTGCTTTAAGTTGAAAACAAAAGTTTATATACTTTGCTTTAAGTTAAAAACAAATAAAACTTTAAACTAGTGCATGAATGTTTTTTAAGTCTTCAAAATTTTATTGAAGCTTAAAAGTTCTTTAGAAAATGACTTTAAAAATTATGAGTGACATCAGAAATTTATGAATGACATTAAAAATTGATAAATGATATTAAAAATTAAGTGATGATATTAGAAATTAATGAATAATATTATAAATTGATGAATGTAACAGTAAAAATGTTGATAAAATAGCCTTCTTCCAGATGAAATTATTTGTGCTCAGACAGAATATAAACAAAGTGATTCCATGTTAGTTATCTTTTCATTAAATATACAAAGTATACCAAAATGTTTATAATGAATATATTTGAGTCTAACAAACATTGTATAGAAATAACAAGAAAATGGCATGCATCTAATGAAGGGTTGGCAATTCCAGAGAAGAAAATATTTGTTCAATCAAACTTAATTAACAAAGTGTAAACAAGTGATATTTTGCATAATTTTGTTTATTAAAATTTTTTTTAACAACAACAGCTATAAAGAGAGAAAAATGCATGCAATATTGATGACAATATTTAGCCACATGTTTGATAAAAAAAGTTGCAGGTAATGCAGCAATGTGTCACTCTCTCATTTAAATATGTGGAAAGTCTTGCATGCAATAAAACCATCAAGTCAAAAAAGCTTAGCTGGATTAAATGGTATCACTGTTTCAGGAATGGTTTTCAAACATTGCAGAAATTAGTGCGAAGATTTAATTCTAATTCTCTTGAAGCTCTTGAGAAATCTCTCTTGAAAAAGAAAAAAAGATATCTGAGAGTAAGTTATCCAGTTGCAGTGTCAATGACTCTAATATTTTTTTCATGGATCAAAACATGCATCAGATCCATCTGAAAAAAATCTTCTACTCAATACAGAGGTATTGGAAGTGGTGTCAATTTTTATGATTCCTGAGATGATCTAAGAGTTAGTAGTTTAAAATTCTGAAGATTCATTTGACATACTGATTCCAATTATGACTTGGAAATTACTGTAAAGGATGTATAAGAAAGAAATGAGTTTACATGTGGATATATTCTTCATAAAAATGGTGGGAATTTTATTCAAGCGTGTTTGCTTTATTCAAGCGTGTTTACTAAGGTTTGATCTCTGATCATTAAGTGATGTTGATTCGTTAGCAATTGCAGTTTGAGACTAATTCAGAATCAAACATCAAATATCAAAATGTTTACTAAATCTGATAATACCGGCTACTATCAGCTGATAATACCTATCAGGGAAATCTTTCAGCTGAAGTAATGTACAATGTGTTCAAAAAAAGAGATATTCAACCCTGTTGTGGAAAAGATCAGTGTGACAGGGATAGTGCAGCTGCAAAGACAATCTTAAAGAATTACGTTGATTCTGGTAATGCATTATAGTTTTGGTGCTAAAGATGCAAAAGAAGCAGTTGTTCAAATTAGCAAGTATAAAGCTGTAGTTACTGAACCAAAAATTAAGAACATTAGCAACTATCACTCATTTGAATTTGGTGAGAAAAGTATTAAGATGTGGCGTTATTTTAATTTCAGTAAGAGAATTGAAAAAGAATATGAAAATCTTAAAACTCAGCCGTTGTTGTTGCCATATAGAAATTCATTTAATTAAACGAAACAAGTCACTTAACGAAAAGCATAAAAGAAATGAAAAAAAATGCTAGCTCTAGCCATATATGCATCATTGGTAAGGAAGGAGGTGTGAACTTCCTGGTCAAACTGACAACAGAAAATAGTAAAAATAGTCAGGTTAATGGTAACAAAGAAGTTTATGGCAAAAGCAATGGCTTTAATCAAACAGATGATAATGAAGATGGTAATCAATATGAGGAAAACATCACCAATCTTGCAAAAGAAATTTGTCTTGTATGGAAAGTTAGTGATTGGCTTGCTGTTGTATATGAAAAAAATTGGAATATATTAATTTGGAGGTAATATTATTCAAAGCATTTATTAGTTTTCAGGTGTTTGTTTTGTCTTTACAAAACAGTGTTCTATAATAAAAGCTATACAAGCATATAAATAAAATGTAAAAATAAGTAGAAATATATATATATATATATATATATATATATATATATATATATATATATATATATATATATATATATATATATATATATATATATATATATATATATATATATCTTATACTGCTGAGACAGGTGAGTGTGATGACATCATACTGAAATAGCCTGCTGTGGGGGCTTCAGTACATACATCGACTGATAAATAGCCTGACTCGCAGTGAAGTGCTGCTACATCGACTGAGGGTTTTGTATTTTTTTTGTAATCAAATTTTATAAGATTTATTGAGAATGTAAACAAATGTGAACAAATATTTAAAAAGCTTTGCTAATACTTTTAGGTACCTTTGAGAAAGGACAAGAAAAGAATACTTGTAGACAAGAAAAATGTGTGCAACTCTTTGTCCTTAGAAAAATTGTGTGCAACTTTTTGCCATTAGAAATAACTCCCATTTAAAATTGACAAAACTGAATGCTTTTGCACTATGATAATTAATCTACCGCAATAATTTAATGCTAATTTTTCATATTTTTTCAGAGAGACCTTTTTAGTTATGCCTGATATTAACTAAAAAAGTGAACTTCTTAAATTGCTATAAAAATTGATTCAAAGATAGGGAAACTAAATTTCAAAAAATCTCAAAATTTTAAAACCAGATTCTAAGTGAATAAAACATTTTTCAGAAATTTATAGAAACAGGTTTTTTTTATAACCTAAGCAATATATAAAAAATTCAAGCAATTTGGAGGGGGTCACTTCCACAGTTTCAGGAATCAGCCTGATTCTTACAAAAAATGGCTCTGACGAATAATAAAATTTAAAATTTATGAAATTTTCATTTAAAAAAAAAAAAAAATTAACATTTGCATTGAAGTACATTTAAGAAATAGTTTAAAAAAATATTCTTTTATTTTAGATCTCTTGAAAACAAAGTGAATGAAATTAAAGGTATTGAGTTTAATTAAATAAAATAATATATGTAAATAATTAAGAATATATTTTAATAAAGAATTAAGCTCTTGTAAAATTCAAACTTTTCCTGTCAATAAATTCAATAATGAATAGTCTTTATTGATGAAACACACTGCGGACAACACTCCATCATTACATTTGATGTCGCCTGGTATTTTTCAAATGGTATTGTATTTTTTTTGTTATTGAAACATAATTTGATAAATGTTAAAATCAATTTCACTTTCTAAAATTAAAAAAAACAACCTAAAACTCTGACATCTAGAAATGAAAGAAAATTTCCTGTTACCACAACTTCTAAATGCCAAAATATTTTTTAACAAAACTTTGAATTTTGAAACGATTTTTATTTAGTTTAACATAACATATTACAAAAGTTTTTCTTAAAATTTCATTTAACTTTTTTTAAGTGTGATTTATTTTAATTTAATTTTTTATTTAATTTAAGTGTGTCTCAATTTCAGGTTTTTGTCTTTATGCTCGAAATTATTTTTTTATTTTAGATATCTTTATTTTACAATATAATAAAATTAAAAAATGTTATATTATAATATAATTTCTATATAACATCATAGTTTTTATATAACATTAATAATTTTCATCTTTTACTTTCAAAATCAACAACAGCAGTTTCTAATCTTCATAATTTTTGCGTTAATACATTTATAGCTTTGACATTTAAACTTTGTAGCAGTTTAACACTGTTTTGCATACTTTGTTTTCACAACATTCATCACTTTTCAAGGTACTTTGTAGGAATTCAATTTTGTTCTGCATACTTTGTTTCATAACATTCAACACTGTTCTACATACTTTGTTTCACAACATTCAACACTGTTCTACATACTTTGTTTCACAACATTCAACACTGTTCTACATACTTTGTTTCACAACATTCAACACTGTTCTACATACTTTGTTTCACAACATTCAACACTGTTCTGCATACTTTGTAGGAATTCAATACTGTTCTACATACTTTGACAAGCCTCGCCATGCATGTTTTTCGAAAGGAAAATCATGGCAACATATAATGTTTTTTAAAAGGAAAATCATGGCAACATATAGTGTTTTTCAAAAGGAAAATCATGGCAACATATAATGTTTTTCAAAAGGAAAACCATGGCAACATATAATGTTTTGTGGATGAAACTGTTAGTATCTTTTCAAAGAAAGAAGAAGAAGCTTCTTGAAGACAAAGTAAAGCATCTACAAACATATTTTAAGCATCTACAAACATATTTTAAGCATCTACAAACATATTTTATCAGAGTCAAGTTCTTTTCCAAAACAAGTCTCTTTTACAAACTTAAAAGTTTTTAGGTTTTGGGCTACAGAAAGGTTATTTTGTTGTTATTAAGATATGGTTATTTGCAAGTTGAAGTTTATCATTCATTTGCATTGTCCTATTCAACTAAATATTTTTGTCAGTTTTAAGATATGAAGGGCCAGGGTGTTATCTGGAAAAAAAAGTTTATATAGCGTTTTTATGCGATATTGTGAATTTAGGTGTGACAAAAAAAAAAAAAATCCATTGCATTTTGACACTTCAAAAAAAGTTTAAGGCAACCCATGGCTCGCACCTACAGTTTCCTAACTTAATTTGCGGTTACAAATAAGTAGAAAAATTTGACATTTTTAGATACATAAATATTTTTGAAATTACTTTTTTTTGATGGGTTATATTCATAGTATATATATTTATATTTTAGAATATATTTATATAGAGAGTTTATTTTTGTTTTATAAATGTTATATTATAGTTATTTAATTTGTTTTATATATATATATATATATATATATATATATATATATATATATATATATATATATATATATATATATATATATATATATATATATATATATCGTGTCTCTTCTCTGTGGGATATTTATATCGTGTCTCTTCTTTGTGTGGTGTTGAATTAAATTGTGGTTTAATTAAATGTTGCTTAAATTAAACTGTGGTTTAATTCAAAGTATATTAAAAGTTCTAATCTTGTTTTAATTAAATATCTAAATATAAGTTTATTTTATTTATATTATATATCTAAATATATATTTTATAAAACCAATCATTGCATTTGCTACTTTCAGATACATTACAAGCAGATAAAAAGAACATCCTTATATTACATACACCAAAAATTCATTTTTTTTACAAAGTAACATTGAAAGTAATACTATGTTATGCCAAAAATTCTAAATATTTATATACTAATATACAAATATACTATTAGTATGTTTTTAAACATTTAGTATATAAAAAATCTTAACAATTTGATGTTTCCACAATCCTCTAGAAACCTGGCCACTATTAATAAGGTACAAATTTTGTTTACAAATACTACGACATTAGAAAATTCTTTATATGTAGAGTTTAGTGATATCTTTTTTATATGTAGAGTTTGATGATATATTTTTTATATGTAGAGTTTGGTGATATCTTTGGTTGGTTCTAATAGAGACTTGAGTTTGGCTTTTTTTAAATCTGTTTTTAATCATTATATATATTTGGTATTATATTTTATAAAGTAAAATTTATATTAGGCTAAGAATTACATTTTGTAATAAATATTTTATTAGGTTAATAATAACATTTAGCCAATTTTAAAACAACAATTCATTAATGAAGGAGCACTCTATTAATTTTTAGTTTATCAAAATAGATAAGCTATTTTGATAAACTAAAAATGTCTAGTATACTAAATTCGTAAATTAAAAATACGTGACAGATTTTTTATCTTTAATTTTTAGAGTTTAATTTTTAATTTCACTGACAGTTTAAAGAGTTATACTTCTTTAATTTTTAATTTCACTGACAGTTTAAAGAGTTCACAGCGCAAATTAAGTTTTAATTATTTGCATTTTTATTAAAAATTTGAAAATTTTACTATCATAGCAAATAAAATTGATTTAAACTTTTTTAATATCATGTTACAATAATGAAAACAATGCATTATCATCAAAAAAATCCCAAGTGACACTCCATCAAACATAATGGATCTTCTAATAAATAAATAATATATATATATATATATATATATATATATATATATATATATATATATATATATATATTTATATATATATATATATATATATATATATATATATATATATATATATATATATATATATATATATATATATATGTATATATATATATATATTTACTAATTTATTGCTCTGTTATTTAATAATACACACACACAGACACACACACACAGTACTGGAAAAATTGTTATGAATTTTTCAATTTTTAAAGAATAATCAAGTTTTTTACTTCAAAAGTATCATAACATTAAAATAAAGTCACAGATTATTCATTCCAGGTATATCAAAGTTTTTAATACATGGTTTGACGATGGCAATTTTCAATGCTTTTACTCTCTTGAGCATGCCTATGATTAAATCATGGTATAATTTGGTGATTGTCTGGCTGTGTAACCAGACAGATTAACTTCTCTATAAACTATGTTTTTGTAGTGATTGGAACTTGATGTATTTTGTCCTTCAAAATGTTCCTTTAATTCTCAATTGGGTTCATATCGAAGGAATTGCCAGTGAATTTCCAGGCCATATAAGTACAGAGAATCCTTTTCTCAGAACCATGTCATTGACAACTTGTCCGTATGGAATGCAGCACTATCCTGTTAAAATATAAAGTCCTTATCAGTGAACCAGTCTCTGACTTGAGGAACCAAATGTTTCTCCATCACCTCTTTATATTTTCTCTGGTTCACCATTCCTTTCACAATATGTAGACAGCTTGTTCCATAGATAATATCATTCCCCATCCCATAATCTTAGTGGGGAACTTCAATGTTTTCTGGACCCTATCATCCAACACAGCAATCGCTGACTCATTTGAGAATACAACCTGAAATAAAAAAAAATGTTTCAAAGAAATCATAATAAAAACATTACATTCATGATCAACAAGTTAAATATCAACACTGATATTTGTCAGAAAATATGATGAAATTAAAAGAGATCAAGAAATCAATACTATCAGAGGTCTAATAGAAAGCTACCTACCTGACTACCTTAGATTAATCTTCTTGCATCCAACTTTCACGCTAAACAGCCCATCCATGCCTGGCATGCTTCATTTTTTTTAGTTTGAAATTCTATCCATACGCATATACAGTAAATTTGAATATTTGGTTTGTGGGTGACCTTTTTTACCAACATAGATAAATTAATTTTTTTTTACAAATATTCATCAATTTTTTGTATAAATATTTATCTATTCATGACCCAGTAACATGATATCAGAAAAAAATCATAGTCCTAACATGTATATAATATATATATATATATATATATATATATATATATATATATATATATATATATATATATATATATATATATATATATATATATATATATATATATATATATGTATATACAAATCTAATTATATAAAATAATTTTGTAGACTTTTTATAATTTCAATATAATAAAAGTTTTTTGTGCCACATCATGTTTTTGTTGATAAAAAACATCATTGATGCAATTTCTTGAATTTTGAATATTAAAAACTATTTCTGTTCAAAACTTAGTTTTTATTAATTGCTTTAAAATATATCAAAAAAAAAAAAAGAATTTCCAAAATGTTTTCTTCATTGATGAAAAACCCTAATAAAACCTTTTGGTTTATGATCTTTCTTTACTTTTTCTTTAATAAAACTTTACTTCAGATAAAACTCAATTTTTTTCAGCCAATTGTTATCACAATTTTTTAGACCTTCCTATTTTTATGAATGGTAATGTACGTCATCTACCCTTCATCATCTAGGATTAACTCTTACTTCTGATCTTTCTTGGAAACCATATATCAAATCCGTTGCAAGATTAGCATCTGCTAAGGTTGCATCTCTTTATCAAGCTCGACTTTCTTACTTACGGATTCTATTCTCTATTTCTATAAATCTCAAATCCGGTTTTGTATGGAATACTGTTGCCATATCTGGGGCGGATCTTCTAATGATGCTCTTTCTCTTTTAGAAAAGGTGCAAAAGCGCATTGTAAACATAGTTGGACCTGCTTTTGCAGCCAACCTTCAACCATTATTACATCGTTGTAGTGTTGCTTCTCTTTCTCTTTTCTACAAATACTATAATGGGCACTGCTCTAAAGAGCTAACATCTCTTGTCTCATCATCTACTAAAATCTTGTGTCGTCATCTACTAAAATTCATTCTTGTGTTACTCGTTATTCAATTAAATCTCATCCTTTTTCTGTGACTGTTCCTAAGTGCTCCGAAAACTCTTATTCCTCTAATTTTTTTCCTTGAACATCAGTTCTTTGGAATTCGCTTCCTTTATCTTGCTTAAAAGATTGCAAATTATATGATTCATATAATTTGCAATCTTTCAAGTTGTCTGTCAGTTGTTATGTTGCTCTACAATCTTCGTCTTTTCTCTTCCAGTATCTTCCAACTCTAATTAGTGGTTGCTTGCAGCCTTGTTTGAAGCCAAGATGTTTAAAAAAAAAAAAAATTCTCATAATTTAAATCTTATTTTTTTCTTTTTTTTTTATTGCAAGGCTTCTATATTGTATGTTGGGATTGCATGTTTGTAATGTTGCATATATTGAATTTTGAAATTGTATGTTTGTAACGTTTGCATATATTGAATGTTGAAATTATTTGTAACATTTGATGAGCTATATTTTATTGCATTAAAACCTTGCAAAAATATAAATAAATAAATATATAAAAATAAATAAATAAACTAAAACATTTCCTAGAATTATCATAATTATATAAAGTTATTAAAAATCAATTTTACAATGTTACAAAAAAAAAATACTTATCTGGAACAGTATTTGTACTGAAAACTAGTATAAAGTTTGATAAATTTAATGTTATCAACTTCTTTACAAATTTAAACATTTAACTTTTACAAATGTAATTTTGTTTTGAAGAACAGAAAGTAATAATTTTTTCTTCTTAATAACTTTTTTTAATTTACACAACAACTTTTTAAGTAGTAATTTTGACTTTAAATGATTTTGTTACCATAACAATAATATAATATAACAGACATTGAATCTTATTCGAAGATTATGGAAAGTGATGAAGATGAGAATGTATTTTGTCCACCTAGTACGACTCCAAAGTAAGTATAAACAATTTAAATGATATTTGTTTTATAATAAAAAAAATTAATAAAATATAATAAAAAGTGTAAAGAGTTAATGATTTTGTTATGATCAAAGTTAACATGTAACCACATGGTCAATCAGACAAGACACCTCTAAACATACGCACCTACTCTGAAAGATGCCTCTAAACCTACACACTACATTTGATGTTTAAATTATGTTAACAATCTTTTTAAATTATGTTCATCTTTTTAAATTATCTTAACAATCTTTTTAAAATATGTTATATATATAAACAATATCAAACAATGAAATACATTAACAATATCAAACAATGAAATACATTAACAATATCAGCCCAAACAATGAAATACATTAACAATATCAGCCCAAACAATGAAATACATTAACAATATCAGCCCAAACGATGAAATACATTAACAATATCAGCCCAAACAATGAAATACATTAACAATATCAGCCCAAACATTTAACTTTCCAATGAGCAAAAGTTACGCTTTTGTGTTGGATTAACACCTGCACCTTCATATTTAATCCTTCATATTTAATAAAAATTTCCTTTTTATAAAAGTAGCGTTCTTTACTTTCATTGCAAAGTTTGATTATTTTTTATTCTTACTTATCAAGTGAATAAATTTTTACTTTATAGAAATTCTCTTGCACTTTAGATAGACTAAACACTGTTATTACTTCTTTTTATTTGGTTTTTTTATTTACTTTTTATTTGGTTGTGGCAACACTTTACTAGGTCTTTATAAGGACTACTAATAAATAAAATAGTACTGAAATTATTATTATTATTTTTTTTGAGATGTTTATTAGACATGTACCAGAAAAAATCTGCACGCGTTCTGATGTGGTATTTATGGAAACCGTGGATTACTTTAATTAGCTAATTGTTTTAAAATGTCATTGTATTAATTCAAAATTTAAACAACTCTGATTTCAAACCAATTAGTTTTAATTGAAATGTCATCAAACCAAGATAAGTTGAAAATTCTGGTGTATCAAACAAAACCATTTCTAAAAAGTTACAGATTGTTTTGAGAACAGTGCATAGCGTTTTAAAACTGTTTAAGGACACTGGTACAATCAAAAGGAAATTAGGGAGTAAAAGAAAAAGTTTTTTTTGAAGAGATCTTGTTAAAAAAGTGAAAGATACCTTAGAAATTTCTGTTCAAAATTTAGCAAATGAGTTTAAGATAATTGCTTCTACAATACAAAGAGTGAAGAGAAATTGTGGCTATGAATATTATAAAAAGAAAAAGTTTACTTGTTGTGAAGTAAAGCAAGAAAATGTTGGAATTCGTTGTTCAAAGCTGCTCTATAAAAAAATATGTGCTAAAAAATTTTGTTTGATTATTGTTGATGAAACTTATTGTGCTGCAAAAAATCCGCTTCCAAGACAACAATATTATTCAGCAATTAATTGCGAGAAACTGAATTTCAAATATAACTACATTGGAATGCAAAAGCTCTCTGAAAAATTCTTAGTAAGGCAAGCAATTTGTGAATGCAGTGAAAAAAGCTCTCGTTTTGTGACTATTGGAACAATTAATAACAAAATAAACATCAAAGAATGCCTTAAAAAGCATCATTTGCCGTTTTTAAGATCTCATATGAGTAATCAATTATTTTGGCCTGATTTAGCATCATGTCACTACTCTGGGACAACTTTAAAATAGCTAAGCGAATATAAAGTAGATTTCGTTGAAAAACACTGCAATCCAACAAATTTTCTTGAATTATGTTCTATCAAAAGATATTGGGCTATTGTTAATGGAAAACTAAGATTCAATGTAAAAAAAGCTAAAAACATCCAAGACTTCAAAAATATGGATTAGAACTACCAGCCAAAGACCGTGCAAAAGCTGATGTCAAGTGTAAAACACTAAATGCATGCTTTCTCACATACACAAATTCACAAACTTACTTAAGTGAAATTTAAAAATTATAATATATGTACTTTTAAAATATATATATATTCAATATCGAAAGACTATAGTTGAATAAATATCCTTTAAATTATCTGTGCAGATTTTTTCTGGTACATGTCTAATTGGAAAATAAAATGATTGAAAACCTTCTTAGATTTTTTTTTGTATGTGCGTGCTTGTGTGTGTGCTTGTGTATTATACAAGTGTGTAATGCACTTGTGTGCGCTTCTGTAATATTGCAACAGATAAAATAAAAATACCAACTGTTCTTTTCTTTTCATCGATAATAGTGAAGTTGTGTTAAAAAGTCTCTATACCAACAACTTTGAGTAGACTTCACCAAACAGTTGAGATACTTGAGTAATACATCTGCCTGGGTGGGTTTGTATTGTATATTTGCATTAACAATTAATGCAAATATAGAATAATAAAAAAATATTATTTCAAATTAAAGTCTCTATTATAATTATTCTTTAAAAATAAAATTCCATTTATATATGCATATAGTTCTAAATTTATACAAAATTTAAAAATGTTGTATTTTTAAAAAATTATGTATTGTTGTATTTTTAGAAAATTATACATTGATTTTTAATCACATCGTTATTGACTTTTCTTCCAAGCAAAAAAATGAAACCTATACATTTTTGAATAGCTTGAATGTCTAAAGATAATTAAAGAAAAATAATAAAAATCGATTTTTTTTTTTAATTTCCTTTTTTTTAAACTGTGTGCCAGTTCAATATTGGCAACCTCGCCTTAAATTAAATATGTATATATACATGGCTCGAAATAAGCGCTACTCATCAGACAATGTCCAGCAGTTGTCCGGTAAAAAATGCCATCTATCAGTCATTTTCTCTGACCCGTATTTTATGTGCATTTATTTTCTAATCATTTTAGTTGTTCCAAAATTATTAATAAATTCGGAATTGTATATAAACTTTATTTTTGAACTTTTTATTTTTTATACAAAACAAAAATTAAGTTAAACACACAGCTACGTTAATAAAATACGTCATTTTTTTGAGTTTTTTTCATTTTTTGAGTTTTTTATATAATGCCAAAGCATTTGCAATTCATTTTTTTATAAGATGTATATTTTTTATAAGATTTATAGCAGATGCAATTCATTTTTTTATAATATGCCAAAGCATTACATTTTTTTGAATTAAGTAGCATGGTTTTTATTATTTTATATTAAAACGTTGCAATTAGTTATAAGTTTAAATTTATATTTCAGTTTTTTTTTTTTTTTTTTAATGGTTTTTATAAATTTCAAATAAATATTTTGGCTTTTAAACTCCTTTTAAATTTATTTTATAAAAATTTTAATGTAATATTTATTTTAATGCTTACAGAAACCTTTTTATTACACCATTAAATTTGAGTTGTTATGTAGCGTTTGTTTTTTCGCTAAAAATCTCCGCTATTAAAAGTGTTTATCAATCTAGAGAAAGTTTGAAAATATTTATAAAAAAATACATATTTATATAAGTATAATTATGTAAATACATATTTATATAAATATTAAAAAATACATATTTATATAAATATGATTATATATATTTATTGGTACTAATATATATATATACATTGTCCGTACTACTATATATGCAAACTGGACTGGTGTTGTAGCTTATGCTGATGACATCATTCTTCTCAGCTCTACTTTCTCAGGCCTAAAAAAACTTATTACAAAGTGTAACATGTAGAACAATTGGCATAAAGCGTAATGCTGTCAAAACGGAACTTTTACTCTCCAGAAAAAGAAACGAACTGCACAAGATGACCATCAAGTTATACCTCATGAGAAACTTAATCATCTTGGCTTTACTTGGGATACAAAAAAATCAATTTTTGCTTCACTTAATAGAATTAATATTGACAGTAGGGTATCAAATTTCCAGGCAATGGTACAGACTCTGATTCAATCTGGAATCTGGTTTGCACATCCAAGGGCTATTATCCAATTATATAAATCATTAGCAGTACCGACGCTAACCTAAAGTTTAGAGCTCTGTGAAAAAAAAAAGTCAACAATGAAAAGACTTAACTCTCATGGAAGAAACACAGTTAAATTGCTTTTGAATGTCTCCAAGTGTAGTAAAAACTATACACACTCTCTTTTTAAAATTAAAAAGATCTCAAATTATATACACCAAAACAAAATCAATTAATTTATCCGCCATTTAAACAATAAAGTAACCTTTGAAATCATTGACAACTTAACTACTGTTCAGTTAAACTTTTTTTTTAAGATAATATAAACTATGTAATTTTCATAAACTGAATTTGAAAACCTTAATGCTGGTTAAATAAAAAGGAAAACTTAGAGGCTCAAAGAATTCCTGAAGCTTTTCAGATTTTGGTACAGTTGTTTTAATGTTTGAATATAAAACAGCAGCAATCAGTTTTTAAAAACACACTTGAAAAAAACATTTCTAAATGATACTTTTTCATCTCTCTTTTTTCTTTAATAATTTAAATAAAATAAGTTTATTGTAAACATTATAATTTGTTACTTTATTTAATAAAGTAATAAGTAAACTTAATAATTTATGTATTTAAAATATTTACATAGTAATTTAAGTATTTATTAATTTTGAATTTTTATTATACATTTTTATTATATATTTAATTATGTATTTAATAATTACATAATTTATGTATTTAATATACTTACATAGTAATTTATGTATTTAATAATTTACCAAGCATTTCACATAGAATAGTAATTTTTAAAAATGTAATAGAAATATATTTTATATTTTGAAAATTTTAGTTTTTTTGAGCTAAGATTTTTTTCTTTTTCAATGAGATTTTCTTTTTTTTTTTTTTTTCTTTTTTCTTTAATTTATCCAACAAATTTTGTTTTTATTTTTAGCACATTTTGAAATGCCTAGAGTTGTTAAAACAAATTGCATGGTCAAGTTGTAAAAACAAAATTTTATGCGTGGTCAGGAATGGCGTTCGATCGCACTTCTTTATTTTTTACCGGACATGTCCATCAAACTTTAGTATTTATTGGACAAATTTTCCAGAACGAAAAAGTTTGTTATTTCAAGTCCTATATATATATATATATATATATATATATATATATATATATATATATATTAAAAATCAGGGTCATGTCACTGGTTTATCACTGGGAAAGGGGGCTGGCTATCTCCAGAGCCCCCTCCTCCTCTCCTTTGTTGCCACTGAAGGCAGTATATCTAAATAAACACTGGGTTGGTCACTGAGTCCATGCTTTTTTTAGATTTAGTAATTTGAATATTAAAAATATTAGCTTGTGATTTATGTAGTTCAGGAGTCTCGAGCTCCTTATTGGTATTAGTATCGTTAATGGATTCGGCCCTTTTGATTTGCACATAATATTTTTCACAAGTATCACAAACATCATTCTGGGAAGTTCCAATTTGATGTTAAATTTAAATTTGAAAATTTTAAGTCATAAACTGTATATAAAAGATTTTTTAAAATCTGGATTTCATTTATGAATAGTCTATACATTGCACCAACATTCAACAGGGCATTAAGATATTTAGTATGTTTATTGTCCTTTTTGTTGTAGTGGCTCAAGAGAGAAATTAAAAGCACATTAAACTTTCTAATGTGCTCACTAAAACGGTTCGTAATACATTCATTAATTTTTTGTGGTTATGTTACCTTTCCTGTCATCAATATTTGTAGAAAAATTAAAAATATTTTTTTCAGTCTTGAAACTTTTCTTGCAGTTTGCACCAAATGCAGCAAATTCTTAAATTTTCTTAAATGTTTAATAATACAGTAGTTAAGACATTTATGACTTCCTGTAATTTTATTTTTGGTCTAAGTTTAAGTTTTATTAATTTGATCATTTATTTCTTTATAGATGAAACACAG